CCTGGTTCAATCTGCGGCAAAGGCCATCAAAACTTTACACCCTAAACCTTAAGCCCTAACCCTAAACCCTAAACCCTAAAAAGGATGCATGCCAAGTCCAGAGGTGTACAGACCTATGCTCTGGCTGTTGTAACAGCGGACCTTCTGAGTTGCATTGTCCCACGCGAAGAAGTTGCAAACTACTGTACTATAGTATACTACCATAATATACTATAGTATAAAAGCCCTTAAAACCCTAAAGCCCTAAAGCCCTAAAACCCTAAAACCCCAAAACCCCAAAACCCCAAAACCCCAAAACACCAAAACCCTAAAACCCTAAAAACCCTAAACCCTAAATCCTAAACCCTAAACCCTAAACCCGAAACCCTAAACCCTAAACCCTAAACCCTTACCCTAAAGCCCCTTGACACAGCTCCGAATTGTCTGACGAGTGCCAGGTGTGCAATAGCTGCTATGCCCTCCACTTTCCGCTCCATGGCCTCTTGCGGTGCGCGGGGCTGATTGCCAGACGCTTAAAGTGCAGAGGGTTTAGGGTCTAGGGTCTAGGGTTTAGGGTTTAGGGCTTAGGGCTTAGGGCTTAGGGCTTAGGGTTTAGGGTTTAGGGTTTAGGGCCGTCATGGGCCGTCAAGGAGGGTTTGGGATGCAGGTGGTTGGGTGTGAGTTTGGGGCTTAGTGGTGCGGGGCGCCTTTGCCTGAAACCACGAAACCTGACGCCCCCGCCAGAATGCCTAACTTTTGAGGCAGTGGCGTTGCTTATGTAGCCGTGGGAAACACTTGACGCAAGGTCAAAGCCTTTAGTGGCATATTCAAGCTATGTAAGACTTCAGGGCCGCGAACTGAGCTGACAGTTTTTGAGATCTTTGCAGCGGTGTGATGACCAAACAAGGCGTTTAATTCCCGAAAGATCATGCGACACAGCTTCAAGCCAACACCTATGCAAACCTCAGCAATCCGTACCCCAGGCGGGCCTTTGCTTAGATGAGTTAGGTGCCCTAAACCCTAAACCCTAAACCCTAAACCCTAAACCCTAAACCCTAAACCCTAAACCCTAAACCCTAAACCCTAAACCCTAAACCCTAAACCCTAAACCCTAAACCCTAAGCCCTGTATGAACTGTGTGGGCTGTATAGGGTTTAGCTTTGCGTGGGTGGCCACCTTCAACTTAAGGTCTCTCACAAACACCTTTGGCTAGGACCCAGAGTCCATTTTTGTAAACGGTTTAGGGTTTAGGGTTTAGGGTTTAGGGTTTAGGGTTTAGGGTTTAGGGTTTAGGGTTTAGGGTTTAGGGTTTAGGGTTTAGGCTCCCTTATAGAGCCTCGTTAAACCAAAAAGGGGTACCCGTTTCATTCCTGGGTTACCTCTTGGGTCTAGTTGCTCATCGTCCATGTTATGAGGAGCCGATACCTTGGCGGAGGGGAGACTCGCAGAACAAGAATGGCGAGGCTTCCAGAATGTTTGGGGTCTCTGACCCCTAAACCCGACACCCGAAACCCTAAGCCTGGTTTAGAAAAATCTCTTTGTGGTTCTAGTTTGGGATCCTAGTGTTGACCGCAGCCAAAACCTAAAGGTCCCGAGGGCTCAAAGCAAGCCCGAAACCCTAAGCCCTCAGAACAGCCATGCGCAGCCCAAAACCCACCGTGGCAATCATCGTTGCAAGAGCTTCGGCTACAGTGGGTCAGCGGTAGCACACCGGTTAGAATTGAGGGGAGGGGGAAAGGCTTTATTGAATTCCATTGTCTTGGCATGTGGAGGGGAGTTTGGTTCCCTTAAAAAGGGACCCCTTATATGGGGGTTTACGATATTCGGGGTACCTTCTTGGGGTCCTTGTCTCAGGGGGATCCTACTATCTGGGGGTATGTATTAGGGGTCCCCTATTTTCGTAAATGCCCATATGATGCTTGTATGCCCTAAACAACCCAAGGGCTTGTTTCGGCGGGTTCGGGCTATAGAGCTCTCGTCGAAGTCCCAAGAAATGACAGCCCAAGATACGTATGTACACACATGAGATGTATGCACATATATATATATATACATACACACACAAATTCTACCACATATAGAAACAATATACACATGTCTCTACATACATACATACATACATACATACATACATACATACATACATACATACATACATACATACATACATACATACACATGCATATACATACTTATATATATATATATATATATATGCACACATAGATGGATAGATAGACGTGGCCTACAGCCCTCCTCCGCACAGCGGGCGCGCCAGGTCCGGGAAGCTCTCTGGGCCGGCCTCATCATCGCACCGCCGCGGGCCGAGCCTTCTCGGCTACCGCCAGGGTTTAGGGTTTAGGGTTTAGGGTTTAGGGTTTAGGGTTTAGGGTTTAGGGTTTGGGGTGGTTAAGGATTTGGGGTTTAGGGTTTAGGGTAGTTTAAGGGTGTAGGGTTTAGGGTAGTTTAGGGTTTGGGGTGTGGGGTTTAGGAGAAGTGTAGAAGTGTAGAAGTGTAGGAGCTTTGGCTTTGGAGAGTTTTAGGTTTGGCGTTCGGGCGTCAATCGGTTTGGGGAGCGGTTTAACGGCTTTGGGCCGGAGGGGTTTAGGTTGAGGCTGCCGGCCCCGGAAAAAGCTTACCAGCTTGAGGGCATTGGAAGGACGAGGAACAAGGACATTGAAACTTTTCCGGGTCTAGGCCCTAAGGCTTTAAGGACCTTGAGCAATTTCAACCCAAGTTGCCGTTTGCCTGATTGAACAACGGAAATTAGGCTAAGGTCTTGTGAGAAGCCTCAACAGTATATTCACTTGCAAGCCAGCCATACTAAAGCTCTGAACCCCTGCGTCTTGATTGTTACGTGCCTGTACTCTTTGCAGAGTTTCGTGAGGATTTGGTTCATGGCGCAATGGACCTACAGTGCAGGTGCAGCTTTATCGGCTCGAGGGTCTTTTACTTTGAAAATTTCAGGTTCGGGATGTGTGGTTTTAGTAGGGCTTTGCGTTCGGGGTTTTGGGTCGTTAGGGTAGGTTTTTGTGATTAATGTTCCGGGATTTCGTGGCAGCGCATCCCTCTGGAGTCTTCCCAGGCTGGTTTTGAGACTTCTGTTGTTCATGTTTGTGTATGTGTGTCTCTGTGGCTCTATGTCTCAATGTCTGTGTGAATGAGTGAGTGAGTGAGTGTGTGAGTGAGCGTGTGAGTGAGCGTGTGAGCGCGCGAGCGCGCGAGCGCGTGCGCTTTTGTTATTGAGGCTGAGGGGTCGTGGGTTTAGGGACCCTTGGCGACGAAAATGATACAACCTCATCTGCTTCGATGCGCAGGAGTTGCTTCCACCTCCGTCACATCTTCCACGGTTATCTCGACGACCTCTGTCGCCACGAAGCTGCAAGCTCTAAGACCTCTTATCCGCACAGTTCTCAATCCGGTGCACCCTAACTCCTAGCAACAACCTGCGCTGAAAAAGCTGGGACTGCAGGGGCTCTGGGCTATGAAGGTGCTGCAGGGCAAGTGGGTGAGGTGTTTCTTGGTGTCTTAAAGATGTCTAGAACTCATGTTCAAGAGGGGCTCGAGCTGTGGGGCTTGTCGGTTTCAGGCTCATTCGTACCCCCCCCCCGCCTCGCGGCTATTGCTTTTTGTTCCTCAGGGTTTTGTTGCAGCTCTTCCTGTTGGTGTGAAGAAGCTTGAGACATGGCAAGGTCTGGACGCTGCTTGCTAGCTATGTCTTCCTTCAGGAGCACTGCTCAAGCTTGATGAGTCTGCGCGGTCTCACCGGTCTCGCGCCGTGACTTCAGAATCTGTTGGCCGCACACATGCACACATGCACACACGCACGCACGCACGCACGCGCGCGCGCACGGGCCCACACGCGCACACGCGCACACACGCGCACGCGCACGCACACGCACACGCACACGCACACGCACCCGCACGCGCACGCACACGCACACGCACACGCACACGCACACGCACACGCACACCCACACACACACACACACACACACACACACACACACACACACACACACACACAAATCTCTCTCGCGCTCTCTCATGCAGCAAGTAACCAGGAGCGGTACCCTGCACACATCGCTCAAGCAACGAGAAAGTAGTTTCATCGCCAGGAAGCAATCCACGCACGCAAAGTGAAATCCAGGAGAAGCTGACCGTCATGAAGGTGGTTGGCATAATTTGCTGCATGGCTGGGAATGCCGCTTGGATTTGACGTCGCTTGAACCCTAGATCCTAAGTTTGTCAGCCCGACTCGTAGATTTCACTGCTAAGCTAAGAACCCGACTTGGGCCTTGGGGCTTTCTCCCGAAGGTTGGGTTTGGGAACCTTGCAATGGCCCCAGGCTCTGTAACGCTAGAGTTGAGAAGGGCTGCCACCTAATCCGTAAACCCTAAAAAACATGCCAGAGGCTGCGACCCTCTTGGGCAACGACCAGCAGCAGGACCAGAAAGGCCCCTCAGCTCAAGCACCATGCCCATGCTATAGGGGTCGGAGCCCCTATGTTAGTATACAAAAATGACGCCCAGAACCCCATTAAGATGATTAAGGCCCTCTATGTTAGTATACAAAATGCTACCCAAACTTCTATTCTAATTATCAAGGCCCCTGTGTTACACCTTTATAGGGGTCGGTATAATTACTAAGAGTATTCAATTATGGAGTCCCTAGATAAATACACAAAAATATTCCCCACAACTCTGTTCTACTTCTTCGGCCTCTATGTTGGTATACACAAAGAACACAAAAAAAAACCTATTCTAATTGCCAAGGCCCCTGTGCTACACCTTTGGAGGGGTGTCTTCGGATATCCTAAAGGCTCAAGCGCCCTGCCAGTCTCTAAGCCTCGAAACCAAACGGCAGCCGAGGACCTTGACACCTTAACTGCGATTTTAGGGCTTATAGTGTTTAGGCGGTTTAGGGTTTAGGGTTTAGGGTTTAGGGTTTAGGGTTTAGGGTTTAGGGTTTTGGAGCCCTCGGAGAAGCCCAGGCGAGCTTTGGGGTGACATCCTCTGCCT